TTCTATCAGAAAAAGTTAGAAAATTCACTAAGTATCATGAAAAACAAAGCATAAACGTTTATAGTCAGATTTCCCCTCATTCTGACAAATCTGAGGGAGATAGGGAGTGAGAATAAGGATTCGTATCCTCGTCACAGTTACATACCAATTGTTACTTATATTCTTACTTCCACGCTTACTCTGTTTCATCATCATGATGAAAACTATCAGAAGACCCTTGACAGATTTGAACTAGATAGATAAATTCTTTTTAATTCTTTTGTATAACGTTTTTTGACACTATTAAACAAAACAATAAAAGGTCGTCAGAATGAGGGGAAATCTGACTATAAACGTTTATGCTTTGTTTTTCATGATACTTAGTGAATTTTCTAACTTTTTCTGATAGAATTGTCTCCCCTTACATGATAGTTATGTGCCCAAAAGATGAGGTCAATTGGTTCGATTTTCGAGTACCTAGACCTATGACAATATCTCGAACTTGAGCATAGTGCCATTTCTGTCTAGTACGTGATATAAGTCTGAAAATTTTAGAGAGCAATAAGGATCTGTAGAACTATCTTTTCTGTAAGTTCGAAGTCGATCTATTGAAGCCATACTGAATTATGGGTCACACAATGAGATATGACGGTTTCTGAGCATACCCAACCTTACAGTAAAATGAACTTAGCTTTAAAAAAATCTCAATGAATTTTGATAAAATTTTTACCATATATAGCCAGTATGCATGACTGCAAAATAACGTGTCTCGCAGCTCATAAGGCTTTTTTGTTCTGGAGTTATAACGTCCACAATGGAAATGAACCCCATGCATCGTAACTATCTAGTGACTCAGGATATGGAGGCGCGGGTTCGCTGCTGACCTACATTATTCGAGATCTATATAGAATCTAGTTTTCAGAGCAACAGCACTTGCAGTGGCTGAGATCTTATGCGGGGATACTTTTGGCCGGTACTGTAAATATACATTTGTACTTCTCTAAATCATCAATATAGCGTTCAAAATGAATTTTTAGTGAAATTTTTTCAATTTTTTCAGATATATAGGAATTATAGGAAAAATGACTCGAAAATAGGAAATTATAGGAGGACTTTGCGAAATATAGGAAATATAGGACGACTACGAAGCCTGATCATTGCTAATTATTGAATATTATCATTCTGAATAAGAACTTTAATTTCATTCCGCAGATCAATCATCACTATCAGTCAAAGATAATAAGAACAAAAATAAGAAAAAAAGCTTACAAATTATATTTGCTTGTATATATAAGTTATGATTAAGAAGTGAATATACAAGAAAAAAATAAAAGATCTAAAGTTTAGTTAATCTTGTTTCTATTCTAAGAACTTGAATAATTTGTGCAAGAGCATCAGAATGGACACCAGCTTCAAGTAATCTCATACATGCTGTTAATTTATTTTTAATCTAAACCAGTATTTAATAATTGTGATAATTCATGAAGACAATCAAGTGCTTCACGTGCTGCATTTGTTGTTGACTCACTTAATGTTGAAGCTGATTTAACAATTGGTATTATTTTTTTTAATCTGAAAACAAAACAACTGAATCAATTTTGGAATAAATAAAGAATGCATATATATGTATTTATATAGATTCACATTAAAACAATAATAATTCCACTATTCCACGACGAAAAACAAAAGAAAATAAATAGATAAATCTGACAATGTCCACAAAGAACAAAAGAGACGAAAAAAAAACGAAGCAGACCTAACTAATTGTTCGTTTTGATAATCTTTCAATATCTTTATTTAATGTATCAACATTTTCTTTTAATGTTATATTTTTTAAAAGTGTATCTTCTAAAACTGATTATAATTTTTCCATAATATCTAATGCTGTTTCAAGTGTCATTGTTGATGCTTGTTCATGAAATAAATGTGGAAAATATTTATGTGTTGTTGGATTATTAATTGCTGTTACACGATTATATAATGTTGCCATTAATGATGATGATGAATTATGTCCAGTTTTATTTGATAATTGCTATTTAACTAAATCAAATTCATTTCATGTATACATAAAACCATCTTTATTCATAGCATATGTTTGAATTATTTTACGTTTATTTTTTAAATCTTGTGTCAATAATTATTATATAATCATTTAAAAATTCAATTTTGTTTTTTCATTATGTCATATAAGTAATTTTTGTTGTTTTAATAATTTATCAATTAATTTTTGACAATCAATATCAACAATATTAACAACAATATCTTTTTCTTGATCAGGTTAAACTTGTTATTGCTGATGACGAATTGAAGAATAAAATGAAGCTTCAGTACCAGTTGAAACAAATATAAGTGAAGATATTTCATTTAATGAAGAATATGAACATGTTGGAGATTCAAGACTTAATATATTAACATTTGAAGAAGTTTTAACAACAAAGAAGAAACAGAAGCTGATCCGGTGGTTGTTTTCGATGAATGAATCTGAAATAAAAAAAAACAGTTTATCATATTTAAGATAAATAGCTAAATCAAGTGATACGAACCAATAAATAAAAATATTATGATCTTTCTTTTTTTTTCATCATTTTTTCATTTCGTTCAAGCCAATCAAAAATTTTAGCTTTTGCCCCATCAGGTGATGTATTTAACATAATAATTGAGCTGTTATAACCCCATTTGTATGTTTCATAATTAATCTTTTGTAAACGAAATCCATCAATAAAAGAATTTCTACAATGAGCCGCTAAAATTCTGAAGAATGGTCGATTTGAATTTCCAAATTTTAATGGCCATAAATGACAATCTTTAAATGTGTATCTTGTATTAGATACTCGTTGCTTTTTGAGCATATCATCTAATACATATAGTAGCAATTGTCCATTTTGGATAATAACTGTTAATGTTTTATTATCAAAAGCAAGTTCAAGTGATTTGGCTAATCTTAAATAATTTCTTGGATCATTTAAACCATCACTTGATAAATTAAACATTGACAATAAATGTTCACCATGTGTATGTTTTGGCCATATATGAGCATTTACAACATCATTACATGGACCACAAATCATACACTCATTTTCATCTATATTATAAAACTTGCTTATAACTTGTTTTGATAAGCTGTTACCAGATGAACCTTGCGATCGTGCAGTTACATCCCATGGATTAATTGCTCGTCCAATAGTAGGTTGAACAAGTTCAAAGAGCAAATTAAGTTTATTTGATACTAGACAAAAAGACTATATGACATATTTTTATTATGTACTTAAGAAGTTGTTGAAAAAACTTACAATTATGGAATTTTGTATCAATATTTGTACTTAAATTCCTAAGCTTCTCATCAAATGTTGATAATAATTGATTAAATTCTGCTCTACTAATATCGTTCGTTGGTGTAAGAATTTTTTCTCTTGTTGCATGTACAGAACTAGCTTGAGCATTTGATTCAGTTAATTTTGGTTCAACATTAGATGTTGTCCCTAAACAATAAGAAAGAAATTTAGTATTTCACATAAATTCGAAATAGTTTTTATTCAGAATTGCGATCTGAAGAATACTCATTCTATTTAACGATAAATGCTCATTTACCTTTATACTCAACAATGATTTTGTACATCAAGTGTTCTTCTACAATTACAGCATATTGACCAGCAACATCATCAATACTAAATAAAAGAATAACAAAGATTGATTTATATACTACCTACATTTTTTAGAAACTCACAAGATGCTTTCAGTATTTGGCCTAGAATCAATACATTGTAAACCGACAATATTCGTTTTGAAAATTCCACATAATAACCTGTTGCTGACACTATTATTGGGTACTGCAACCTTCTCTTCTTTCACTCCATCTGTGACTAATATTAAAAGATCTTTGGCAGACATTGTTTTGATGATGATCTCAAAAAAAGAGAGAGAATGAGTAAAAGAAAAGTTAACTCCTACTGTATTAGAAACAGAACAATAGATTTTTCATATCGTTCTTAAGTTTATTTGTGAAGAAAAATAAAATATAATAAACAACAGTTGGAATTAGAAATAAATATGAAAACTAAAAAAAATCATATGATCGAGTTTTTTCTGGTCGATTGAAAGATAAAAAAATTAAACATAAGTTGGTACAAGATGATAAGAACCACTACTTCTAAACCTTATTATAGCATACCGATAAATCCCATTCTCATAAGGCTTAATGTAGCATAAAATTGACTATTTGCGCTATTCAAAATGGTGAGTCATGCTACTGGAAAACTACTATTCCATCCTTCTATGCATAAAAACAAATAAAAAAGAAACAAAAAAGATATGCAAATAAATCTAACTCGAACAATACTAGCATCATCAACCGTAATTATTGCATGAATATATTTTATTGAATTTCGTAAAATAATACTTGTTAATGTTTGAGCGTAATCATTTTCTAAGAAGAGATTGAAAACGCCTAACATTTTTAGGATAGACATTGCGTCACAATATGGCAAAATTGCACTTGAAAATACGTTCATTATCATCTTGATGGGATCCGGACATTTGGTCGCCGGACAGTTGCGCGCGGGCAGTTGGTCGCAGGACAGTTGGTCGCATGGACAGTTGGTCGCATAGCATAAATAAGAGGAATATGAAGTACAAAAA